TGATATATGTAATTTATATGTAGTTAAAATGTTTTATCTACATCATTAAAAATAGTTAAATAAAAAGGTTTTGTATCTGTTAAATGAGTATCAACTGAAATAAGAATTAAATAAAATACAAGTAAAATGTTTTCAACTAATAATACAACAGTTTTAAAAAATAATAAAAATAAGTCATTATTTATTCTTACACTATTGTTGTGACACTTTACATATACCCTACATACAAATATTTCAAATATAATATACAATATTCTGTAAACAAAAATTGCCACTTTTTGTTATAGTAATATGCTTACAGCAATATATAATGTGAAATTAAATCACTGATCTATTTTCACACATTGACTTGTATGCTGACTTAGACTGAATTCATATTACCATCCAGTGACAGTTTTGATGGCCCAAAGAACCAGTTTATGGTAAATACTAGCTCAGCAAAACAAATATTTATTTATACTTCAGCTGATTGCCATCAAACATTATCCCATGTAGCAAATAGTACATGTTTTACTGAAAAGCTTAATCTAACAGAGTAGAGTTAACTTTGCATAAAACAAAATGAAAATAAAACAAACACAGAATGACAAACTGAAGCATGTATCACTTGGTTCCAGAATGTGTAGTAATGTCAGTTCAGTAATATATATGTGACAATATGACAAGCTTCATCCAACTGGCTAAAGGTGAAGTTGCTTGCCAACTGGCAAAAGTCAAACTAAACTAAATAGCATAAGCAAACAGGAAAATGATGCAGTTGAATGATAACTGCCATTAGATTGTCAAAATTGGTGCAGCAGTGTTAGTTTGAACCCAGCTTTAAAATGGGAAGACTAATCTGTTTCAACTAAGCTGATAGTGGCCCGTACACAACATGATATTACAAAAATCATTGTGATAGGTGAACTACTGAAAAACATCAATATTTATATCAACATAAGCAACACAAAGTGTTATAAACATTCAAAACAATCTCTTTTTATCACTTGCCTTTCTTGTGCTTGTTAAACAATACTTCATGCTCAGCAATCTTGAACAGAACTAAATCTCCCATGATTTGAATTATTACCTGTTTTTAGTTTCATACATTAGTTTTAAAATAAACAAAGTATTATCTTGTTGCTTATTGTGAATAATTTCATATTTAAGGACTCCTATAAATGAATTTTTTGATGAAACTATATTGTTTGAAAGTATATTGGCATTCTTCAACAGTTCTCTTATCAAAGTGATTTTTGTGATGTAATATAATTAATTAACCTATTCGATGTTGAAATTTTTATTTGTTGCCTATGACACCATGTTGAATTTTCATTGATTTTAAGCCTAAATTGTTTTTTAAAACAATAATCGTGTTTACTGTATCATAAAAAATTATTTTTTTTGTGTTTCACAAACAATATATATATATATTGAGTAATATAAAAACGAAAAAAATTTTATTTTAAAAGTTTGTTTTAATATAAAAATTGTGATGCGAAGTGACATCTAGTATCAAAAACGTTCCAATGTAAACACGGAAATATTCGGGATCACCTACGCAGGTCAATGAGGTCAACCTGAAAATTTTCGGGATCAACGTAGGACAGGTTAATATGATATAATCTTCATTTTTCTGTATATCTTCCCTGGAGAAGTCAGCATGCCAGTTTAAGTGAAGTTATAATGACATTAATTATGTGTTTTAATGTTGCAACTCTTCTTAAACAGAATTAATTTATTTTGTTGTACCAGTATTATAAACCAAATTTTATTTTTCTGTAAGCAACACTTGGTAGCGTCAGGAGTTGTATGTGTCAATTTTAATGGATCATGAAATGTTTACAGATAAGATAGCCTTAGTGCCCTAATGATGTATTCACCAACAAAGAGTTAATAGTTGAAGTTTAAGTTAACCAATTAGAACTCATCTAACTAAAAAGTAAAATGAATCCTGATTGATTGATTTCAACTTTGTCTCTCAACTCTTAGTTGGTGATTACAGCTGTAAGAGGGAAAAACTTAACATAATTTTAAAAAAATATATTTCTTTTCAGACTATACATATAATTGAGTCCAACTTCTCCTGCCCTTTGACATGCTTGTGAAGGCAATAACAAATCTACGGCAGAACTGACCTTTTATTTTAGGCTATTTGTCTGCCATCAAATGTAAAGTTAAAAAGTCCTCTAGTGGTAGCAAACACAATTATAAAATTAATAAATACATTTAAAAAGGTTCTGCCATAGATGTGTTATTGCCTCCACACAGTGGTGATATTCGAAATATTTAACAAAGGGTTCGCTAACAAACTTTTTCCTTAACCTAACCCCAAGCCCGAGATATCTCGGGCAAGTTACATAGCGCTACATAAAACTCGGGCGTTTGGTCCCCCTAAAAGTTTTGTTTTTTTGGCTTTTTGGAATGTTTTTTAAGTCTCCAAATTTTTTCAAAAATTTTTTCCCGCGCGAAAAAATTTTATCGCGATTTTAATTTACCTTTAATGACGCACGATTCACACTTAATTGCTTTTTAATTGTTTTTTAATGGGAGTTTGATATCAAATTTCATTCATCGTTCTAAAGTTGTAGCGCACGGATTTTACTTCGGTAAAGTTATTTAAAGCTAGTTTCTGATGTCAAAAACGACCTCCGATAGTTTCTAAATTTTTTTAATTAATAGATTTTATTATATATAAGTTTAATTAAGTCGGGGGGGCGGAAATCGCAATAAAATTTTTAATTTTTTAAAAATATTTAAAAATATACGGCCAACTAGTATTCACCCTACTATAAACCTATCGCCTCCCGAGACTTCTATGAGAATGTCCCGGAAAATCGGACTCCAGCTGTGTTCAAGGTCATCCAGCTGTTTAAACAATGACTCATCAGCGTAAGATTTCACAGAAAGACGAGACAAAGGAAAATAAAATCTGAAGCTTTTTCTTCAAAATTAACGCATTTCTTTCGTTTTTTCAGTTTTAAGTATTTTTTATGTTTAATTACATTAATATCAAAAATTGCTAGAGTCCCAAGGAGTTAATTGCTTTCCCTATGACTTTTTCTCAAGAAAAAACTTTTTAAATCGTTTATTTTATCATTAGGTATTATTATAATAAGAGACAGATGTCATTGTTTCTCGAAATACAATATCTTTTTTATTTCGCTGTCGATAGCCGGACACGTGTTCCGCAGCCATCTTGTATTTTCTCGCGCGCGTGGGATTGTGGGATCCCTCGTATGACTGGATCTAGTTTCAAGAACTCTCTTGAGTCGATCGCGATTAAATCTCGTTTCAGTCGAGATTGAAACGGTCGATGGAGGTTATATGCGAACGGCGACAAGTGGAACATGGCGAACGGGGTATAAGGCTCTAGTTTAGTAGTGTTACAGAGTATAATACGTATATTTTAATATATTTTTTAAAAGAAACAAAACCGCTGAGAAATGTTACGTGTGTTTAACAACGGGTTCGGAAAACTTTGAAAATGTTAACAACAGGTTCAGCCGAACCTGTGCGAACCCGCTGAATATCACCACTGCCTCCACAAGCATGTCAAAGAGCAGGAGGAGTTGGACTCAATTGTTTGTATAGTCTAAAAAGAAATATATTTTTTCTAAATGTGAATTCGTCCTGGCAATTTTTTAATTGACACAATTTATTTATTCATTCACCACTCAAATTGAATAATATTTTTTGCTATTACAGTTTGAGAACTGTTTATCTGAAACACTTGGGACTGGAAGTAATTTGGATTTTTGAATATTTGTATACTTTCTTCTGATTTGATTTGATATATATTAGTCTCACTTGACTTCTTTTTTTTATATCACTTATTTAGAATTTTTATTAATTTTCGATAAAAACAAAAACTTTTCACACATCTATGTGAATATATTTTTTAAACATATCTGTGGTATTGTGTGAAAATATTTTTAAACAATATTCAATACAGATATGTTAAAATAATTTTATTCACACAGATGTAAATTGATCTGTTTAAAAGAAAGAACTCAAACTTATTTCAATTTTGAATGTGTTCTGGTAAATATACATTATGTAGGTAAACTGGCATACCAGTTTACACCAGATGTGAGAAACGTAATTTCTGGTCTCTCTTATTTAAACTGGTATGTGATTCAATGTGCAAAGATATTGTATTAGAGTTCAGACGAAATGGTTGTTGCACTTTGCAGTCAAAAAACCTAAAACATCTGAATGATTAATAATATTAAAATTTCAAGAGTGAATTCATTGCAGATTTAAAATTGTTCTTTGTTTAATTCTCAGCTTATATAGTCCAATTACATTGACACTTAAAATTATTGCTAACACACTCCTAGAAGCAAATTGACCTCTATCAATATCTAGAATGATAATATGAAAACCAGATGGAGACAATTGTCACGACAAGATCATCATAAGCAGCCAGGCTGCACTAACATTAACATAGTGCTAATAATATTGAGTATATTATTGATATTGAAGTTTATAACAGTATAATTTCAATTTGTATTGATGAATTAATAATTAGATATTTTATTATGCATTTCTAATTTTAACTGCATTCATTAAACTAAACTGTTTTATATGAAGCAGTGAAAAATAATATCTATTTTAGATTATCAGAAATGTTCAGGTAGATAGTAAAAGGCAATAATTTACTTACTATTTATTAAAAGTTACACAAAATGCACAATTATTACAAAGTTTACAGTTCTATTCAATAGAGAGGTTGTGGCCGACGTTTTCATCGCGAAAACGTGTACGTCGGACATTCGGTGCCGCCTTCCTGTAAGCCTAGGCGTTTGACAATGGTGTTTGGAATGTCGAGCATGATTTCACTGACTATCCAAACACCATTGTCAAACTTCTAGGCGTACAGAAAGGCAGCACTGAACGTCCGACATACACGTTTTCGCGATGAAAACGTCGGCTGCACCCTCTCTAATAAATATTATAACAATTATATTTCTATTCTAAAATTAAAATTTATCTTAGAAATAATTCTTTACACATACCTGAATCAGAAGCATCACTTGATCCTGAAAGTTGTTTTAACTCTGAAATTACTTCAGGTTTTGTTAATAATGAATCAAATTCTATAAAAGCATCTTCTAAACTTTGTGCTATATTATTTTTATATTGGGGTAAGGAATGAAGAAATTCTGGTAAATGAAGAGAACAGTATTTTGCAACTTCAGCTCCTAAAATTACACAAAATATTTATTTGAACAATTCAATAGAATGTAACATATTTTCTAATGATTTTAATTCAGAATTTCTTAATATTTTTTTTGTTTATTCCATTAAGTCTTTAATGATAAAAACTAATTAAAAGCTTTAATTATTTTAATCTATATTAATTTTTAAAACACTAACACAAATATTTTCTTTGACTAGACCATTTTCAACAGAAAAACAGAATGTTATTGGTTACATTATGTTCTTAAGAAGATTGTTTGCAGTTTATCAGCACATCATCATTAGAAACCATTGACTAATGAAAATGTGACTAATGATAAAAAACTAATATTTCTAGACACCTATTTCTATCGAAATCCAATTATAACAACCATATCCAAGTAATTAAAATGTTTGAATATTTAAATTCAAAAATCCTTAAATTATATATAGAAGTCTAGAAATTACAAATACTGTTGATAGTATGGATTATTCAGAAGTTTTAGACAAAGATATTAGTGATAGTTTTAAAATATGCCTATTATGAACAAAATTCTCAAATTTTGTATCTGTGCAAAATAGTTTCCAAGTATCATCATATGTATAGATGGTTGTGATTTGGGAATCTGATTGTATTTATATTCTTCAAGTTTAAATTTTATTTTATTAAATTTCTAAGTCTCTCTAGATGCATTGAAAGACACGCAGTTTAACATATTATTCATTATCTCAGGAATATGAGACTCAAACATTTTGCTAATTAGCCTACTTATTTTTATTACTAATTTTTATGTTGATATGGATTTAATAATAGTTCAATTATATAAGTAATCTTACCTACAGCACATAATCATTTTTTCTAATGATACAATTTACTCAATAACCAGCTAATAAAACAGAACACTTCTAAAAATTTAATGAATCTTGAGATAAGATTAATTTTATTATAGTTTAAAAAAAACAAAAAAATGCATTTTATTTACTTTAGTAACTTACCTCCATGACCATCATAAACAGCAAAGAAGGAAGTTTTGTCATCATAATCAGGGATACAATTGTGAGCATCCTGAAAATAAAATTATGTATTTTTTTAAAGTTATTTATATACTGTATGTATATTAAACTATTTCTTCAATAATCATATAATTTCAATACAATAATGATTTTTAGTTCATGATTATATCAAAAATATCAAAAACAAAATTATATTATGTTTTAATATATTAAATGGAATTAATATAAATAATATAAATAAATACATTGCATTAAGTAATATTATAAAATATATCTAATATATTTTAATATATTACATTAACATATATTATAAAAATCTAATAATCAGGTACCTGGTTAGTCAACAACATACTTTAGATTTATTGAGGCTCTAAAACATAAATTTAGTTTTGCTCCTGATCATAAAAAAAAACAAAAATAGAGCTAACTAAAAATTTGGTACATAAATCAAATCATATTATATATAGCTAAGTCACATAAATAAAAAAAACTGCTTTTATTCATGTATTGTATTTAATTATTTGTTTTTTTCCTGTGCACTAGTCTTTTAGTCTTTTTGCCACGTTGCCACAAAGGATTGCTGCCTTAGACATTTAACTGTCAGCCTGTCACGATATTAAGTTTTTCAAACCAGAACACTTGCTATATGCAATTTTATAATACTATGTAAGTGCCATGTTGTAATTCAAAAATAAGATTAAAAGTTGAACAAAGAACAAACAATGAACTTTGTGTTAAATTTGGTAAAATCTACCATGGAGACCCTTGAAATGCTTTGGGAGACTTATGACAATATAGACAAATTCATAACAGAAGTGATAATGTGATGAAGAAGAATTGAAGATTGTAGTGGAAAAAAAAAATCTCGTCTTCCAAGCAAGCACTAGACATTTGTAAAGGAAGGAATTCCTCAGTGTAAGAAAGCTTTTGAAAATCCAAAACATTTTGTCTGTTACCATAAACAACATAGCAGAAATATCATTCTACAATCCATGCCAGTTAAAAATATATTATCAGAAGAACAGAATAGAATTACTTTGTTAAACATCCACAGATATTAATGTCTCCAATCTGAATTTGAATGAATTTTCCAATTTAGACAGAACACAAATGAGCAATTATTTATTGTGACATCATCACAATGCTGGGCTGCAATTTTTAATCATATTTTTAATTTAGTTAATTTAAAATATATGCTCTCCATCTCAAATTAGCAGTGTCTTGCCCCTGTACATCATACTTTTCCTGCTAGCAATAGTTGTGCTGCCACCTATATAGCTTCTTTCAGAGGAACATTTTTTTATTGAAATAGCACAACTTCCAGTTCATACTTTAAGTTCATATATAGTTAATCAGGGCCTCCTGCCCTAAGCTTTCTATATCTGGTCTTGACTTTCATCTATCTAATGCCATTCTTGAGATTAAGGAAGGACAGACTGACTGATGGATGACAGTGGAAATTTATAGGTTTGTAATTTTTTTGAAATTGCAGCCCAATTATTACTATATTAAAACAATGTATTGTATATAACTTGTATCATTCAATTCCTCTTTAGTCTGCTATATTGTGTTACTCTATAAAACTGCCATATATGGTAAAAATCAATAAACAACCTTATGAAAAAATAAATCCCACTCTTAATCTTGTGCATGGGACTGGATGATTTTTGAACTTTATTGGCAGTATTTCTTAAGATTGAATGTTTTATTCTGTTTGACAATTAAAAGTACAAGTGAATCACACAGTTAATATAAAATAAGCACTATCTATTTTATAAAGTTTTTCATTTTAATTAATTTACATATATGCAAAAGTGATTTTGTAGATCATACTTTATATAATATGCTTTCTTCAACCAAAATTTACTTAAACAACAGGCAATCCTAGACTATGAATAACATATAATCACTATAAATCTTACTAGAATAGTTTTTTACTAGTCTTTTCTAAATTATAGTACAGGTAACCCCCGTATAACACAGTAGTTACGTTCCAAAAAATTGCTGTGTTATGCGAATCCGTGTTATGCGAAACAAAGAACTAGTATGAAAAGGAGGGTTAGGTTCCAAAAATTAAAAAACATGCTACTATATTTTCATAATTAAGATAAATATCTTTATTAAAATTTTCTTAAGTGATACATATTAATATAAATTAAACAATGTTTGTCATCACTAAAAGCACTATTAACCGAGAGCATTTTATTTTCGGCAAGTTATCGTTATCCTCTAAGCATTTTTTTGCATTATTTTCAGATTCATGCTTTACCTTTTGCAAAAAGTGTATGTAATTTTAGATTGCTTGCTTCTAGTTAAAAGATCTTTATAAATTTCCTTATATGGTGCTAAGCACTTATGGAATAAGAGAAAAGCGTCTGGCAACACCAGAAGCAGAAGCGTCGAGATCTGGCAACACCAGAAGCAGAAGCGTCGAGATCTGGCAAAACTGAAACAATTTTCACGAAGGACCATGTGTATGGAGACGAGAAAAGAAAATTTACACACTGAAGTACTAATAGTTCACGAAAATAATAATTTTCATGAACTATTAATACTTAAGTATGTAAAAATTTATTACATTATTATTGTACGAGGGTTTTACCCATTTCTTGAACCGTGTCAGAGTGAATCCGTGCTATAAAAGTACCGTGTTATATGGGGGATGGTACCAATTCTCGAACCGTGTTAGAGTGAATCCGTGCTATACAAGTGCCATGTTATATGGGGATTACCTGTACACTGTAAATTACAAAATTATGAAAGGACTAACACAAGTAAACTGGAACTATATACTAAACACAACAATTAACACCTAAATGCTAATTCCAGCACTGAATGAACAAAAAAATTTTAATGCAAGTTTTTCACATGTGTTCAAACAATAAAGATGCTTGTTAAAGAAGCTCAGTATTTGGTCTCATTTTATTCCAAAAATTTTAACACATGGGTTTGTGACAAATGCAACTATTGAATTTCATAAACGTTAAAAATATACAGTGGCAATCATGTTAATTGCATCATTTTTGAAATGCAACTCAAAGTATTCAACAGATGTGAAATGTTGCATATTTTAGCTTTTAAAATAATGACTGTAATTTATAATGATAACATAATTGAAATTTGATATATAGTACACAAAAAAAAAACAAGAAGAATATATGTAATAAATGGCATTTTTGGTTTAATGTTACATTAAACTTAAGTGTTATTTTACACTATAGCCTCATCAATACTGTTAATAAGCACTGTCATGTTACAAAAAATTGTTATTCAAAGCAAAAGTAGGCCTGAAAAATCACATTAACAGTTATTTCTTGTGTAATGGGATTCTAATAGTTTTTACAATCCCTTTGAGCTTTAACCTTTTTCAGTCTGAGTTACTAATTTTAAGTTATTAAATTATATTTTCTAACCCCCATTAAAAAAAACTTAAATTTTTATACTAGCATAATTTTATTACTATCGATAAAAGAATCATTCAAAAAGTATTTTAACAATAAATGATTTTCACTTAATATTTATAAACTTTTCAAAATTTATTCGTAAGAAATTTTCAAAATAAATGAATTTTATTCATCTGTTATATTTATTTGGTGTATAAATATGACTCTGCCTTTTTTTAATAGACAGTGTTAGTAGTACTGCTTGCATGCAACTGAATCTGACAACACTTTTATTTGAAAGGAAATTTGACAGCATTCTTTAAAAATCATCTGACATCTGTTTAAGCTGTAAATAATAATTATTTTTACCTCATTAAAAATGACATTTTGTGCCAAAAAACAGCATTTGTAGAAAGTTTTGCTTTATTATTTTATTGAAAAGAAAACTGCAGCAGAAACATACCATTTGCTATTGGAAATGCTCCATCGAATACAACTTGCAAAGAGTGGTTTCAACAGTTTAAAAATAATGATTTTGATACATATGACAAAGAGCATGGAAAACCACCAAAAAAATTTCAAGATGAAGAATTGGAAGCCTTACTGGATGAAGATCCTTGCCAAACACAAATTAGAGTTGGCTGCTACATTAAATGTTATCCAACCATGCATTTTCCAATGTCTACATGCAATGGGAATGGTTCAAAAGCAAAGAAATTGAACCATATGAATTGGAAGAAAGGGACACTGAATGTCAAAATATCATATGTGAATTATTGCTTCAAAGATCAAAAAGAAGATTTTGTCACTGAAGATTAAAAATGGACTCACTTCAACGTTCCTAAATGAGCAAAGGCATGGGTGTGTTCTGGTGAACCAGATCCATCAATGCTGAAACAGACTATTCATAGAAGTATGGTTATGTTGTGTATCTGGTGGGAGCAAAAAGGTGTAGTATATTATGAGCTGTTGTAACATCAGTGCTGAACGTTACAAACAATAGTTAATCAAACTGAACAAAGCATTAAAGCAAAAATATCCAGAATATGCCAAAAGACACAACAAGGTTATTTTCCAACATGACAATGCTTGCCCACGTGTTGCAAGACCAGTCAAGGAAACTCTAAAACCACTTTGCTGGGATGCATTCCCCCACCAGCTATAGTCACCAGATATCGTTCCTTCAGATTACCATTTGTTTCAATCCATGTACAGCAATCTTTCTGGAAAGTGGTTCAGCTCTTATGAGGATATCCAATATTGGGTTCATGACTGGATTACTTCAAAACAACCAGACTTCCTTCATGGAATCTGTTTGTTGCCTGACAGATAGGCAAATGTAGTAGCTTCTGATGGAAAATACTTTGAATAAATCTTTCTTTCATTTTAAAAACAAACAAATGTTTTTTATTTAATAGGAAAAGGGTAAAGTCATATTTATACACTGAATACATCATCTATTTACACTAGAATAATAGGCAAACAACATAAAAGCTTTGCATATACCCCCATCATTAACATTTACTTGTCTCCTTATCCTACAAACAAAAACCAGTAGAACATAACACTCAAATGAAAAAGAACAAAAAGAACATTTGAAAACATTTTTTGAACATTCTTTTTGTTCAAAGACCAGTGATTTGACCCAGGGGCAAAAACCAGTTTGCTT